ACAGTGTCATTGGGCCATCTTGAACTCTGCATGAAGGTAGCCCATGGGACTAATATTTCCATTGTATCACCCCGCCTCCTGCATCCTTAACAGGTAATAACACAATGTGTTTTCCATTCTTCTTAAAAGAATAAGTGCTCTTGAAGACTTCCTTCCTACAGTTTAACTGCCAAGGCCTACCCAACAGAATGTCGCAGACGTCCATCGAAACCACATCACACCATATTTTCTTCTATAATTGATCCCCAATCGAGAATTCTACTAGGCCTTTTTGATCCAAGTATTTCTCGTTTCCTTTCTTCTACCATGTAAGTGAATAGACTAGGGATGTTTCTGCATGGTCAATCCCAATTTCTTCACCATGAGTGTGGACACCATATTTTCACAACTCTCACAACTCCCACTATCAATGATTAAGCTGCAAGTCTTACCCTTTATCGTGCACTTGGTGCAAAAGTTGCTATCCCAACAAGGATTAATTCGACTTCAGCTCCAAGTGTAATACCCTCCGTGTGACAAGCAATTCTCCCTCGTCCCCCTGAAGCTGAAGCTCCTCCCTGAGCTATCCTCTGACTCCTCGTTCATCTCCTCAACGACACTCTGATCTGTGAATGTGGCTACTCAGCTCATGGGATAACTAGAGGTTATGTGTTTGTAGTCATGGCACCTGAAGCACTTCCTAACTGATATTGTATTGGAAGTCTTTCTCATGTTTCTTTCTACTTTGATCCTACTTGTCATCTTCATGTGCTGCCTTGCTAGCTCCTCCAGAAAGACCCTTATCGATTACCGTAGTTGAGGGTGGATGTCAAAATGAAGACTGTTGTCCGAATGATGATTGTTGTCTACTTTTTTTGCTGTCTTTTTGTCTTTAAGGCTAAGTTCTGAACATCTCAAAGTAACCAGTAGGGTTGTAGTTGTATCACAATGCTAATAGCGGGCTTTAGGCCTCCCAGATATAAGGCAATCTTCTGCTCCTCTAGCTTGACCAACTCATACTTCATCTGCAATTGATCGATTTGAGCCGTGAATTCCTCCATTAAAAGAACACACTGCTGCAAGTGGTGGAGCCCAAGAAGTATGTCTTAGCGATAATGAGGTGGTAGATATTTTCGTTGTAGTTCATTCCTCATCTTCTCCTACTTGGAGATTTTATCACAACCTTCTCT